CTACCCTCCCAGTATCGCCACTCACACCACTGGTCCTGAAGGGATCATCTGCCCTGGATTCCCTGTGTTTCCAGTTACTATCTGTACCAGTGTACATCCTCTGGTCCAGCCAGACTTGCAAGGTAGAATTTGGATCATGATAGTGGGGGCGGGGAGGAAGCATTTAGGAACTAGAGGTAAGTTGTATTTTTCATAGTTGCAACATCGCACCGACTGGCTCATCTCCTCCCTGAGACCCCTCTGCAAGATCTCCAGTGATTTTGCCTTTTGAGTTCCCACAGAGCCAATGGATACCTAAGGTGCCTGGGTGGTGCAGGGGGTTAAGCAGTGGGCTGCTAACCAAAAGACTGGCTGTTTGTACACACCGGCCCAGGAGAAAGAGGAGAACATCTGCTTCCGTAAAGATTTAAGCTACGGAAACCGTCTGGGGCGGTTCTACTCTGTCCCACAGGGTCTCTGAGTCAGAACAGAGTCGACGGCAGTGAGTTTGTGTTTGTTGTTATAATCATCACTTATTTCATTCCGCAATCTTGGTAATATTTTAAAAGATCCTAAAACCAGTTGACTACCATTAAGTGCCTGTCCCTACTAGATATTTGATCCTATGCATGAACTTTTTATCTCTGGGCCTCAGGGTGTTCGTCTTTAAAGTGGAGAAAACAGAGTATTTGCCTTGTGGTGCAGTGGTTCCAGTGCTCACTGGCTAATCAAAGGGCTGGCTGGCTGGGCGAGATGCGGCAGCCTGATTCCATTAATATGAATAGCCTCGGAAGCCCGGTGGGGCAGTTCTACGCTCTCCTGTACAGTTGCTAGGAGTTGGAATTGACTCAGTGGCAATGGGTTTGGTTTGCTTTTGGTTCCAAGGAAATAGAAAAGGAACTTCTTTTATTATTCATCTCTGTATCTTCTCAATAGGAAGAATATTCTCACAGACTGGCAGTAGGAAAGTAGGAGTCCAGGTCTCCAACTCCAGCCATTTCTGACTTTACCAGAGCCCGGCACAGCAATAGCTGGGCAAATTTAATCCCCAACAGGAGAGAGCTTCCAAAGAAGAGCGGGAGATAGTGTATCAGTCTGCACGAAGTCTCCTACTTCCACTAATAGGTTTACTCCCAAATATAAAAGTAGTAAGCATATTAAGGAGTCAAACGATTTGCCCACATGTTCACATTTGGCCCCCTTTTTAACAGTTAGGTACTATGTGCTAGACTCAGGAGATACATAATCTATTGAATTTCCAGGCAGATCCTCCCCCCACATTCTATAAAAAGAGATTAAAGGTGTCTACTTCTATAAAAAACGTGAGGGGGTATGTGTTTCAAAAAATTCTTGAAAAATGGAATTAAAAGATAATAGATTTCCGCCCCCCCCCCCACTATCATGATCCCAATTCTACCTTATAAATCTGGCTAGATCAGACAGATAAGAGCTGAAAACACAGAGAATCCAGGACAGATAAACCCCTTAGGACCAATAATGAGCGTAGCCATTTCAGGAAGGTAAGGCGAAGGTGGGGGAGAAAGGGGGAACTGATCACAGTGATCTACACACCCCCTGCCTGGGGGATGGACAACAGAAAAGTGGGTGAAGGGAGACATCGGACAGTGTAAGACACGAAAAATAATAATAATTTTTAAATTATCAAGGGTTCCGGAGGGGAAAATTGAGGAGCTGATACCAAGGGCTCAAGTAGAAAGCAAATGTTTTGAGAACAATGATGGCAACAAATGTACAAATGTGTTTGACACAATGTATGTATGTATGGATTGTGATGAGAGTTGTACGAGCCCCCAATAAAATGATTTAAAAAAAAAGGCAATAGAGTTTTCCCCATGAACTTTCTGAAGCATCCTTGTATGTTTTCTTGATGTCCACTCAAACATCAGACATTCTATATCCACAAGCAGTTATTTAAAAAGTGAAAGGAATTTCTATCATTTCTTTTAACTCTGGGCTTTTGCCAATTAGCAAAGCTGAAGTAAAATAATAGCAGATTGTATCTACCATAAGCCAATGTAAAAAAACTTATTTTATACAAACACCTCTCTGAAAAGAGAGACTGGAGTAAAACATTCCATTATACATTTTGTGATCACAAAACACATTATTCTAAGGGCTATACATTTTTTTGCATTCCAATATGCTCATTAGACCAAAGATCTATCAACACCAAAAGACATTAGCGCTGGTAACAACCAATGAAAAGGCTGGAAGAATCCCGGGGTGCCAGGATTCTCGGTTTGAGATCAGGTCATTTAGACAGTGTCAACCACATCTACAAAGGTCTCTGGCTGCCTGAGCCTCATGGCCCCCTTCCGAGTCATGTGGGACTTTCAGTTATTCTCATGACTCTGCTCTTCAGTGTGACACTTGTCGATATGCTTATTGTCTGTACTCCCATAGGAACGAAACATACACTTCAGACCTCCAGGTTAGCACCCGCTACAATCACGAATCTCACACACACACACACACACACACACACACACACACACATACACACACACACGACACCTCAAAGTCAACATGCCTACCAATCAATTCGGATGAAAATAATATTTTAAAGTTGGCATACAATACATGTTTATAAATATTTACTGAATGAATGAACCTACCAAAGAGTGCACTTGTCTCTATAAGCTCAGGTACAGGCACCAAATAATCTAGTAAAATCTATGAATTGGAGGCGCTGGGCCCTGTAAACGGCTGAACGCTAGTCTAGTAGCCAAAAAGTTGGCAGTTCTAACCCCCACAGAGGTGCTGAGAAGATGGGCCTGGGGCTCTGTTTCTCAGAGGCCATCGCTTTGAAAATCCTATGGAGCCGTTCTACCCCACATCATAGGGTACGCCGTGACTTACCTCGACGGTAATAAACAACAGCCTGTGTATATGAGGGTACTTTTCATAGTAGCTTTTGTTATTGAGTGATTACAGATTTGGTAGCAAAAAAAAGCATTTTGCTGTTGAGATAAAAACAAAGTAAAACAGCTGCTCCACAGTTTCTGGGCTGTTTTAAACATGCTGGATATGAAACTAGAACTTTGATGCAGGGTGATTTTAGGAAGCATATTCTGGGCTGTAAGATACATAAATGCTGCACTGAGGTCAATTAATACAGCATTTATTCCTATTTCCAAAACAGAGTTGGGATAGTCTTTAAATTCAGTGAGTGAAGAAAACCCCTAGGTGGGGGGGCTCTGCTAGCTCCCAAACTTTGCTACACATTGGAATTACCCAGGGATCTTAAAAAAAAAAGTATATGTGTATGTGCATGCGCATAATCTGGGCACTGGGGGTTTTAACGCTGAGTAAGTAATCCTAATGAACAGCAAAGTCTGGGAATCAGTGCTGTAAAGATTTTAAATTCATGACTTTCCAAACTTACACCTGAGGTTTGAGAATCTTCAGCTGAGTGAGGATGTCCTTCTGGACCCTGGGATTAGCAGTGGCAGTAAGAGCCATCACTGGAACCAAGGGAAACTTCTGCCGAAGCATATTCATTCTTTTGTAGTCTTGACGAAAGTCATGTCCCCACTAGTTGGGAAAACAAACAAACCAACCTTTCAGACTACTTTCTTAAATGCAAAGGAAAAATGTATCAATACCCTTACATCACTCTATTTTAACACTCTGAATATAATCCCTCCCCACCCTTTAAGGAAAATCTAATTATGCTAGCCTTCCTTAAGAACCAGCAATGACTACCCATCACCTGCTGCATAAAATCGTAGCCTTTTATTCAGCATGACAGGCCTTTTATGATCTGGCTCCTGTTTGTCCTCAGGTCATCTTCCACTTCGTCTTGTAAGCAGCTGGAGGACGGGAAGCTTTCTACCTTGTTCTGCATTAAATCCCCAACGTCTTAAACAATGCCTGTTCCAAACAGGCTCTCCTCTATATATTAATTAAAGGATGAAGAAACGGAGTACACACACACTTATTTTAACCAAATGTATATAATCAATAATAAATGCTACCAACAAACAAACTTATTCTGTGAAATTGCATAGCAATCCATTCAATATAGAATTATGGTCAGTTTTAAAAGTACTTTAATAATACATATCTATATATTTCTTGATATCTCCAGTCATAACAATTGTACTCACCTGACTGACACAATGTGCTTCATCTATAACGAAACGTGCCAAGAGCTTCCTCTGGTACAGATTCTCCAGAGTAGAAAGCAGTCTGTTGCTTGCACAGACCTAGCCGGGGGGTATTAATACAGAGTAGGGAGTTAAGGCACATAATACCATGTCATCCCAGTGGTTTTGCTCGCCTGAAGTTCCACGACAACTTAAGTTACATTACGACCTCCCGGAAATCGGTTCTCATTTCAAACTTGGAAATAGCAGAATTAATCGAAAATAGAAAGTCTGATAGTTTAGAACATTTGTCCACATTCAGTAAAGAGTTTGCCTATTGAGTCAGAGGTTCTTAAACTTTTTTCAGCCTCAACACATCTAAAAATCACCAACTGAATAAATTAAAAATCCACAGTAGGAGTTCATACTAGTATATAAATAATCATGTGGGGAAAAGAGAACTTCCTTGTAGTAAAATGTCAACTAAATTAGAAAAATTGCTCTGGCGTCCATTATAGTAATAACTTATTCAAGGAAGACTCATCAATGGATGCTAAAATTCATGGGTAATAGGTTATTGACATAGTCTCTAATAGAATACCTACCAATACAATAAAGTAATTTTGCAGTTGAGAAACCTGCCAGGCCCCACCTTAACTAAGTGATCAAAGTTAACAAGCAGCACATGTCCTCACATGAATTGACATCAAGTTCTTTGCTACAAGAGACCCTTTCATTTCTGTGATATTTCTGCCAAAAATGAGTACCATGAATCTATCCCGAGGAAACCTAAGATAAATTCAAATTAAGGAACAGTCTTCAAAATAACTGGCCTGAATTCTTCAAACATGCCAAACTCATAAAAGGCAAAAAGAGTTGTAGAAATTGTTTGGATTGAAGGAAATGTAAAGAAACGTGACAAGATCAAGGGCAATGGAACCGACAGGAATGCCTAAAACCCAAATGAAGGCAGAACATGATAGTGGGGCAAGAGGAAAGTACAAAGAAATAGAGGAAAGAACCAGGAGGCAAAGGGTAGTCACAGAGTCGTAAATACAGGCATATAAAGATGTAAATATATTTATATATGATGAGGGGGAAATAGATCTATGTACATATACTTATAGGTTGAGTATTAAGAAAAATGATGGACAGTGGGCTCCTGAACAAGTACTCCCCCAACACAAGAACACTTTGTTCTAACAATTTGGCAGTCTGAGATGCTCACCTGCCTGGCACGATCGCTGAAGACAATGGGTGCACAAGAAAATGTGGTGAAGAAAGCAGATAGTGCTTGGCTACCAAAAGATATAACACCTGAAGTCACTGAAGACAATGGGTGCACAAGCAAGTGTGGTGAAGAAAGCTGATGGTGCCCAGCTACCAAAAGATATAGCACCTGAAGCCTTAAAGACCTGAAGATATAGAAGCAGCCATCTAGCTGAGAGACAACAAAACCCACACAGAAGTACACCAGCCTGCCCCTACTCGATCACTGAGGACAAAGGGGGTGCATTAGCAAAAGTGGTGAAGAAAGAAAACCCACAAGGAAGAAGCACACCAGCCTACCCCAACATGAATACTGAAGACAGAGCGGGTACATAAGCAAATGTGGTGAAGAAAGGTGATGGTGACAAGCTGTCAAATTACACAGAATCTGGGGTCCCACATGCTGGAAGATAAACAAGGGGCCATCTAACTGAGAAACAACAAAGCCCACATGGAAGAAGCACCCCAGCCTGTAAGATGACAAGGCGGCGAAGGGGTCCGGTATCAGGCATCAAAGCCCCCCCCCCCCAAAAAAAACCCATAACATTGTGAATGAGGGGGCGTGCAGAGTGGAGACCCAGGGCCCATCTGGGGGAAATTGGACATCCCCTTACAGAAGGGCTGTGGGGAGGAGAGGAGCAAATCAGAGTGCAGTATAGCAACGATGAAATATGCAATTTTCCTCTAGTTTTTAAATGCTTCCTCTCCTGCACTACCATGATCCCAATTCTACCTTACATATCTGGCTGGACTGGCACAGATAGGAACTGGAAACACAGTGAGCCCAGGACAGATGAACCCCCCAGGACCAGTGGAGAGAGTGGTGATAGCGGGAGGGTGGAGGGAAGGTGAGGGAGAAAGGGGGAACAGATGACAAGGTCAACATATGGCCTCTTCCCTGGGAGACAGACAGCGGAGAAGTGGGTGAGGGAGACATTGGATGGGGTAAGATATGATAAAATAATAATTTATAAATTATCCAGGGTTCAGGGGGAGGGGGAGTGGGGAGGGAGGGGGAAAATGAGGAGCTGATACCAAGGGCTCAAGTAGAAAGCGGGGGTTGTGAGAATGATGAAATCAACATATGTACTAATGTGCTGGACACAAATGACGTATGTACGGATTGTGATGAGTTGTGATGAGCCCCTAATGAAATTATTGAAGAAAAAAAAAGAAGACATGTGACAAGGAATTAAATACATGTCTTGGGATTTTTTGGTTGCTGTTATAAAGGACCTATTGAGATAATTAGCAAAATTTGGATACGGTCTATACTGTGGCTATGTAAAAGAATTCTTGTTCTCCAGAAAAGCACAGAGAAATATTTAGTGGTAAAGAATAGAATGCCTGCAACTTACTCTCACATGTCTCAGGAAAGAGATACATAAATAGAAAGAAAATAATTACAGTAAAATGTTATAATTTGGAGCTTCTGCAGAAAGAGATATAGGAATTCTTTGTACTCTCATATATATCACTAATGATGTCCTAATAAAAAAGTAAAACTTGAGGGGAGGAGGGGAAGCCCACTGATCGATGCATACCGCCACCCACCTTCCCTCACCAAGGGAGGAACAGCAGAAATGTGGGTGAGGATTGTGATAAGAGCTGTAAGAGCCTCCAATAAAAAGATTTTTTTTTAAAAAGAAAGAAATGTGGGTTAAGGGACACAGCGGTCAGTGTAAGATATGAAAATAATAAAAATTTATAATTTAACAAGGGGTCACGAGGGTGGGGGGGAGGGAAAAAGAGGAGCTGATAACAAGGGCTCAGAAAGAAAGTAAATGTTTAGAAAATGATGATGGCAACATATTTCCAAATATGCTTGATACAATTGATGTATGGATTGTTAAAAAGACCCATATGAGCCCCCAATAAAATGATCTCTTTTTAAAAAAGTAAAATTTCTGTATCTTTGTTGGGCTTTAATATATCTTAAAATAATGATATAAATACAAACCTTCTCTGGAGTAACATATAAAAGTTTTATAATGGGATCTTTTTTTGATAACTGGAGGTAAATACTTGTAGCTTCTGAGTCAGTCTTATCACCTGTCAGGTATGTAGCTGGAATCTATGTATGAAAGTAGTGAACAATTGAAACATTTTAATACACATAAATTAATCTTAGGCTTACATTTATCCTTAGATTTTATAAGTCACATTCCAAACCTACCAGAAGAACTATATACATATATCTCAATATAATATAAATGAGGATTAATCATTATAGTTTCTTAAAAAGCATACCCCCCCAAAAATGTATCAAGCACAACTTAAAATGCTCTGTAACAGCTTATTTCTTTTTTGTTTTTCCACATAAATTACATTAAAAAAACAAACAAACTAGCCTGTTCTAAATTGAATGCTCTCTTGGACTTCCTGGTTATTTCATATTTGCAAGTATGCTAAATATGAATTCAGCATTCAAGAGACCACAGTCCTAACAGATGGCTATATATATATAAAATATATGAATATGCCTTTAGGTTTTTAAGGCATAAGTACCATGTGGGACCATGATATCATGACTGGCTGCCGCAACTGAGCTAAGACATTCTGTTTATACAGTCAAACCAGCGGGCTTGCTGATGACCTTGTCATTGCTCATGACCTTGTTATCACAATATATGAGATTTATCAGCATGCATTCACAGTCTACCTTAACTTTATCCACATGGAAGACATGACATGTTGCTTTATATATATATATATATATATATATATATATATATATATATATACACACACACACGTATATGTTTTAAGATATAAGGGGATGAGAACTATATTGATCTGTCAGCAGAAACAGAGAAATACTTTAAGGTTAGTTTATTTTAAAATAAAAGGTTTCCATCAGCAAAATATCTTACCAAAATACATTCTATCAGCATAAAATCACACTAAATGACAGAGTTTTATGTGCTTTATTCTTACAATTCCTGAACTACTTAATAAAAAGGTTGCCCAGGAGTACTGACAATTCACTTTTCTGCAGTCCCTTTTCAGATAACTGGTAGTGTTTTGTTCAAACTTACATCCAGGGAAGTCAGCTTCTGGACTTGATCAACAATTAGCGATCTCAAGGGCGAGATGACAATAGTGACCCCAGGGGAAATGCAGGCAGGGAGCTGGTAACACAGACTCTTACCGCCCCCTGAAAGAGAATTGGTGAAAAAGAGTCGATCATGCTCCACCTTGATCGCAGGAAGGCAAAAGTCACCAGGTGGATGGCACAAAATGATTAAAACAGGACCTACCCGGACTCTAAGGGATAGTCCCCCCTGGTACCAGTGATCGGCAATACTCGAAGGAGTCAAATATTTTTGCAGTTCAAATAACATGTTAAAACTACCTTTAAGGGCATCTTACATAAGCACAGATCATTGCAAATAAAATTTCAGGGCAGATAAATAAAGTACATTTGAATGACTTAAAAAAGCCTACTTGGGAAATTTAAAACAGTAAACTATTTTTGGCAGAACAATGGATGCTTAAATGAACAAATTCATAGGATGAAAATGGCTTTGTACGTAGTATTTAAATTTTAAAGAGGAAAAATGTAATAAACTATCCAACAGTGAACCATACTGAATATGGTTTAATATTTCTTTGATGATCCTGAAGGTACTTTTAGGATCTCAGGCTTTAGGTTTTACAAATATCATTAGTAGGAATCTCTTAACAGTGCATATCATAACACAGATTCCATTTAAATATCAGTTTGCAAAACTACAGAAGCACAGGTCACACTATTTACTAATGATGGCAATGGGTAATTTGCTAAAGGTTACAACATGATGAGAAAGACAGAGGTAAGACTTGCATTTAGAAGACTGACACCCCAAGCCCTCTATTCTTCCTACCACACACACACCGTCGAATATTTATTAGCTACGTATTATTATTATTATTAGCTAAATATAAATAGCTAAAAAGAATATAGCAACTCAGTTATGGAATACTTGTCAACTGCGTATTTAAAATTTTTACTTGAATGAAAAGACACCATTGAACACCTGCTCTTTGCTATAATAACACAAGCCATCTTCCAGACTTTTTCAAAACTGGGACCAAAAAAGAACGAGCTATGTGCTAGGCCAGTGGTTTTCAACCTTCCTAATGTCACGACCCTTTAATACAGGTCCTCATGTTGTGGTGACCCCCAACCATAAAATTATTCTTATTGCTACTTCATCACTGTAGTTTTGCTACTGTTCCGAAAATCGGGCAACCCCTATGAAAGGGTTGTTCGACCCCCAAAGGGGTCACGACCCACAGGTTGAGAACCACTGTGCTAGGCACTCTATGGAGAGCACAGAGCAGGAAGCTGGAGGTTAGGGAGTGAAGTTGCTTGGCCACAGTCACATGGCTCAAAGTTTTAACCCCAGCCATCACCCCAAGCTGATGTTTGCAACCACACATGCAACATTAGGTTGTTACCAAATACACCATTAGAAAAATGGCCATGTTCTCTGACAAAGATTTTTTGTTAATTTTCCAGATTTTGACTGGAAAAAAGGAGACAATTCCTAGCGAAATGCTAGTTCAGTCCAACACAATAAGCTTTGAGTTGAAACATTGTAAGGGTGTGAGGTACTGAAATTCTTGTTCGTACTATGGCATGGGAGGGTTAGGTCTCTAAGGGACAGAAATTCTCTGTAGGTATGTAGATCTTTTTATTTCTATTAAAAAGCTTTCATTTAACATCTGCCCATGGACTGCTGCCAATTCATATCTAAAAATACATACCAGTGGGCATTAAGATGAAGCAGTCTTCACCAAGCAGTGCAGCATTGATCGCCTCTAGTTGATTAGTTCTAAAATGATGCAGGCCAAATTTTTTATGAAAAATCTTCATCATTTCTTTTGTATGAGGAAAGTCAACACTTTGGAAACGTTCATGTTTCACACTTTTGGACGCAAAATTTTGCCCCGACTTGTCTAAGAAAATAATGTTAAAAACAATCAGTACCTAGTAACAGGTCAGTTACATCACTGCTGTACAAGGCCCTGCAATAAACTGTCTTCAACCCTTTACTGGGTGTTCCCCAACCCCCCATAGCAAATGGCATCCTCCAAGCCACCAGACTTCTCAAGGGATGAACTCTGGTCTCCCGATTTGCATACAGCACCTGCTATTATTACCAGTGATTACCTCCTGCCTCTTCTCCCTGGTCCTTCAAGGGACCCATGGATGTTTAGATTCACTTTTCATTTCCTTTCCTGCCTCTACTACTTCCTGCATCTGCCCTGTGCATTTGGGAGTCTGTCAGATACTCAGGACTGGGCCCTTCACACGTTCTGTTTTGGATTTTTCCAACTCTCTGATGTGAAATTGCACCACAGTACAGAGAATACCTAGTTCTCACTTAAGGTCTGGCTGGCACCCCTCCTAAGTTCAAGCCTGCATGCATCTCCAATTGTTTGCTGAACACTTCAACTGGAATGATTTACCAACACTTGACCCTCAACAAGTCTTAAAACAGACCTCCTCCTCCTTGCAAAAAAAAAAAATATATATATATATCTCCCCCACTTTACTCCAAATCTGACTCTACCTCCTGACTCCCCTACTTCCGTAATGGTGTCCCTGTTCTGGTCACCCTGGTCTGAAACTTGAGGGATGGGTTAGCTTTCTGACTGCCCTCTCCTAAGGATCTCACATTCGCTCTTGCTCTGCCCCTCGATGCCTCCATTCGGACTCCGCCCTGAGAACAGGAGGTACTCACACCAGCTTTGGCAGTGCCTCTGACCCCAACACTCAACTGTCTCAAAGATCATTGCAAACATCAAGTATGACACATTCTAACATGATACAAAATTAATTCCATTAATGGTTATTTCAAAGGTCAACAACATCACTGTAAGAACAACCCCCATGGTATTAAATCATCAATGGCAAAAATACGAAGGGTTGCACTTTATAAAATCTTGCACATATAAATGATTTCCGTTATAAAAACAAAACAAAAAACCATTTTGTGGTAACTTTATAGAGTTGATGTAAGGTTTTAAAATTAATTTTGGCTTTCTTCTGTGAATTTCCCTCCTCCAAAAACATCTCTCTTTCTAAAGCTTAAGCTCCTACTGGGCACGAATGGCTCGTTAGTCAGCTTCTCTCACCAGAACCTGTACTGTACTTGGCACACAGTAGGTATTCAATAAATACCTACTGGATAAAATAAATACCTACTGGATGAATGAAAGGATTCTAAGGGCTCATGAACAAATAAGTTGATTCATCTAAGAAATCTCTGGCTTTACGTTCTTCTTAAGATTGCCTTATATTTTAAAAGCTTAAGATATAGAACTTGCTTATCTTCTTTAAAAATTAATCCTTTCTCACCAATTCAGAAGTCAGACTACACACAATAACATTTTAGCATATAAATTCATCTTTGCTTTTGCCCTGCCCCCAAATCATTAAAAACTGGCCCTCGTGAGCCTTTTTGTTTTACAGAATGAAAAAAAAGTTAATTTATAGGCAAAGCACTTTGTAATGACTTTTAGAGCTTTACTACAATAGGTTATAATTACACATCTTATACAACTACAGCTGCTATGGAGACAAAAGAGCAACTTGCTTTGGAAATTGTGATTTGTAATTCATATTATCAGTAGAAATTTGCATAGAAACAATGTAGTTTCCAGGCAATGATGGCTTGCTATGCTTTTCTTCTGTAATTCCCATTTTGGGCCGTTTTTTTGTTTTCATATAATACATACCCATTCCATTTGTTTCAAACTTACCGATATAATTTTGAGTTGACTCTGAGAAGTTTTTATGGTGAGCAGTGAATGCCCCGGGAAGGCAGTTTGTCTTGGCTGAAGACATTCCTTGTGATAAAGATTTAATTGGCCGCCCTTCCTTAATAGGTTGGTAGGCAGCTGTGGAAGATTTGCTGGCCGTTAGATTATGCATTATATTTTCCCATTCATCATCATCATCATCGAAGTCTTCTATGTCAAAGTGATCAGTATGATAGAAGGCCTGGGTTTCCGAACCGTCCCTTCTTTCTAAGCCATTTGTTGGGATAGGGTATTTCTTCAGGTCTTTCACAGCAGTGCTTGTGAGAACATTTTCCGGGAAACAGGTGCTTTCATATCTTTCGTCGCTCTTTGGTGTTGCAGTGCAGTTGCTACTTACAAAGGACTTCGGTAGATGGGAACTGAATAGCGGTCTGTCAAAGCAATTCTTAGCAGTGGCCGAGAATCCGGTCCTTCCTGGGGTAGTAGTTGGTAAACACTCTCCAGTGGAGACAACATTTGAGGGAAAGTGTGGGAAGTGTAACTCCTTAACAGAATTCTCTGTAGGGCAGCTCTCCCCCTGTGAAAATGTCACACCTTCCACAGGGCTATCAAGTAGATCAGGCCTGCAGCGCCACAGTGGGCCCAGAAAACCGGCCTTGCTTCTGTTCAAATCTGCATCAGCGAGGAGTTCCTTTCTTAGGGAGGAAACAGAACCCGGTGTTAAATAGAAGTCTCCTACAGGGGGATTCCGTTTTCAATCCAAACACTGGCAAAACAGATCGTCTTCTTTTCTATCTCAAAATACTGAACACAAGTGCTAAAGGAAGCATTTGAAAACAAAAGGTAAGTAAATTTAAAAATAGTGATGATGCTAAGGAGATCACCCTAAACAATTTCCTGGCCAGGGTGCCTGAAAATCTTGCTCAGTTCGATTTTGCCTTCGAGCAGTGGAAACACAATCAGATATATTCCAAAAGGAAGAAAATCAAGATACCTTATGTTCCGCTGCTGAAGCAGCTCGTTCCCACAATCCAAAGCTCTCAGTTTATCTTCAGGGATGGTATCAACGAACTTACAGATGTTCTCCATCACACGGATAAGCTGCTGCTGTACACTTAACTGCTTAGCTGCAAAGTTAATTCGTCATTATTTTTCCCACCTTGAAGACAACAAGAGCTTAAGCTTCTAGAGGAGGCACACATGTCATCTTCGAAGGGGTTTACAAACGAGATCAGACACATTCTTACTGTCTTATATCTGCAATGAAATAGCTTGAACTCAGATTACCTTGATTCTATACCAGTAGAGCTTATAACTGAGTTTTCACTTAATTTCATGTTAATTTCTGATGGTGCTTTTAAGGTTAGAAGGCATAAAGGTATCAACTTCTCATGAATTTTTACCAATTTTCTGTGTAAATCTCGCTGTACACACACAAAATGAGGCATAAAGGTTGGACAGGCAATCCCCCTCGCCTGATGCTCTGCCCTGGCTGACACACATGCTTCACTTTGGTGGAAACAACGGGAGACAAACCCTTCTCCCTCTCCCTCTCCCTCTCGGGGCCTCGTGAGGAACAGCACGGAGGTCTTTCAGAAGGACTAGGAAGGCCTGGGTAAGCTGCTGGGTAACCTCTCTGCAACCGCACAGGGAGGGCAGCTTGAGAGCGAAGGCCAACTCGGAGGAAAGGAGGCAGCCAGAGATGGAAAGAGATGGGGAGAGGTTCAGACGTGGGCCCAAAGGGAGGTGCGAAAGCTGTGCAGAGAAAGAGAAATTCTTGATGACAACATTTTCACATGTGAATCCAGCTATTTCGAAGCATATATATATTTTTATGTTACTTCCAAAAGAAAATGAGGACTACAGTGGGATTATAACTCTTGCATCATGTCCATATGAGACCCTCCTCAAGTTAAGTTATGGAGGTATATACCGGTTACACTCCAAAGGCGTTTTCTTCCCTTTTGGGAGCAGCAGCGGTATAAGGTCAAGCAACAGAAATGTTGCCTGTTTTAGAAAGGCAGCTCGCTTCACGTACACAAACATTACAAAAGCCATAGTTTAAAAGGGCCCAGCCAGGAAGGCGAAATTAAGTCCAGTTCAAGCTGCACATGAAGAATCCCCTGAATCAGTTAGACAGGACAATATACATTGCTTTCGGCATAATAGAGTAGAGGTACCTCTAAGCTACCATAAAACTCAAAACACCAAACTCACTGCCATCAAGTTGATTCAGACTCATAGCAACTGGAATAGGACAGCGTAAAACTGCTTCTTAGAATCTGAGGCTGTGAATCTCTATTAGTGCAGACAACCTTATCAGTCTCCCATGGAGTGGCCGGTTGTTTTGCACTGCTTACCTTGCATCTAGCGGGCAGGCATCTTTCCTCTAAGCCACAGTATTGGTAAACTGGATGTAGATACTGGAGCATTCAAATTATTCTGTCTTGAAGATAATGATCAAATCCCAAGTGAAGACAGGAATGGATAGAAAACTCTGAAGTGTTCCTATTGGTGACTGAATAAATTGGGGTGCAAGAGTGAAGGTAGAACTGCTCAGTCCCTACTTTCAATGCAGGAGAATGGGCACGAGGTTGGAAATAAGAGCAAGTACGATGGTCTGAAGGAACCAAAAGCCAAGACAGGCTTAGAGAATGATACAAAGGCACTAAGCTATTGCCAAGGAGCTCAACTCTTCTGACCAGACAGATTACGGCACAGAATACAAAAAACCCCACAAACAAGATTTTGGAGCCACTGTCGCTGATACCTGAGGCATCTAGTGAACAGAAGAGTTGATGAAATAGTAATAACAGGCAAACATTGTTCTAATTAAAAAATTTAAAAAAAGGTCAGAAAAGTGATTGCCAAAAACTACAGCCTGGTGATCTTGATGCCAGTTCAAGACAAAATTGGAGGACAGGTTATCAAACAGCTACTTTGTAAGCTCTAAGAAGGAGCAGGAAACAACTATAGCATTAGCAAGAATGCATAAAAACAAAGCAGCTATCAGAGGACTACATATAACCGCCTCCGTTGGGGACAGACAACAGAAAAGTGGATGAAGGGAGAGGTTGGACAGTGTAAGATATGACAAAATAATAACTTATAAATTATCAAGGGTTCATGAGGGGGGGGAAGCAGGGAGGGAGGGGAAAAATGAAGAGCTAATGCCAGGGGCTTAGGTGGAGAGCAAATGTTTTGAGAATGATGAGGGCAATGAATGTACGAATGTGTTTTACACACTGACTGTGGATTGTGATAAGAGTTGTATGAGTCCTTAATAAAATAATTTAAAAAAACCCAGCTATCTTAATGTATTTCCTTGTTTGAAAGCATTACTAGACTGGCAGGTACCATTTATAGAAGGCCTACCAAGCATTAGGCACTTTACATTGAATTCTGACAGCTACCTGCAAAGTGAACAGTATTCTCCTCGTTTTACAGAAGAAAGAACTGAGGCTCAGAGAAGCTTAACTAATTTGCTATAGTCCCATAGCCAGGAGTAAGAAGAATCAGTTTTTAAGCTCAGGTTTTCATAACTCCACTTCCCGAGACCTTGAACTCCCATTAAGCCCTATGACCATGTCTCTTGCCTCACTATAGACAAAGGACACAGGGGAAAGGTAGACTCCTTGTACCGGCTAAACGACAAGTGATGACTTATGTCAGCTGAGAAGGGTCGCTACTAATGGAATTCTCTAGGACTCTTGCACCTGTCCTAGTCAATGGTTTTAGTAGTGCAACTTAATAGTGCAGAGGCAGCACAGCGCAGAAGTTATATGTGAATTTAAGACTCTCACAATTCCTTGGCTTCAAATCCCAGCTCAGCTATTTTCTAAATACTGTGACTCTGTGAAATGATGTAACCTCCTGTACCCCAGTTTCCTGGTCTTTAAGAGGATGTGGTAGCAGAAATTACCTTTTAAAAGGCCGCTGTGAGGATGGAATTGGTTTATACTTTGCGGGACACCAGGTATTCCAGGAATTCTAACAAAAATTCAGAAAGGAAAATAACAAGCCCCCAAATCCCAAAAACAAAACCCCAAATGGAAGAAACAGAAAACACAGAGAGAAAACTATGAGATATGTGCACACTGAGCCACAATTTATGAGGAAAGAACAGCATACATCGTACAAAATAAAATGGAGGAAAAAGACACCCCCCCCAGAAGAATTTATTTCAGAGTACAGCACTGAATCTGCAGCTCCGGGAGAGGGACATGCCTGATCAGAGCTTATGGGAGCAGATAAAGGGGGAGGGAGGAGGAGAGAGTTGAGCACATCCTGGCCCACCAGGCCTTGAGGACGATGTTCCTGCTCAGAGCAGCCAGTCCACAGAGAGGAAACCATGGTCAGCCCCACTATGAGACACGACGATCTTCACTGGCTCATAGCCCTACAGGGGACAACACTGGAAACACAGTGTAGGAATTCCGCCCGATCTGATCCTGCCACACCAAGGCAAAACACTAAGGGGGTGCAACAGAACAGCAAGGGAACAGAGCAGCAAGGGCCCCAAGGAATGTCGAAGGTGGACTTTGGGGCTAGGGCTTGGTGCCCCAACAGACTGGACTGGAAAAAACTCCTAAAGGCCAACAAACAGTCCTTGAACTAACTACAAGCTTTTCTTTCTTGTTGTGTTGTGTTTTTTTTTTTTTTGTCATTGGTTTGTTATTGTTGTTTTGTTTTATATTGTTGCTTGGTTTTGCTCTGTCTTGTTTTTGTGCATGTTATAATCTCTGCTGGTCTGTCTAAATAAGATAGGCTGGATGAACAATCTGGAGGAGAAAACAATGGGACCAACAGTTCCCGGGGGACATGGGAGACAGGGAGGTGGGGGGAAAGGTAGTGGTGTTAACAAGCCTAGGGACAAGGGAACAACAAGTGATCCAAATCGGTGGTGAAAAGGGTGTAGGAGGCCTGGTAGGGCGTGATCAATGGTAATGTAACCAAGAAGAATGACTGAAACCCAAATGAAGGCTGAGCATGATAGTGGGACAAGAGGAAAGTCAAAGGAAACAGAGGCAAGAGTTAGCAGGCAAAGGACATTTACAGAGATGTAAATAAAAGCATGTACATATGTAAATATATTTATACATGAGGATGTGGAAATAGATTTATGTGCATATATTTATACGTTTAATATTAAGGTAGCAGATGGACATTGGGCCTCCACTTACTCCCTCAATGCAAGAATACTTTCTTCTATTAACCTGGTATTCTATGATGCTCACCTTCCTGACACAATTGCTGAAGACAAAGCGGGTGCATAGAAAATGTGGTGAAGAAAGCTGATGGTGCCCAGCTATCAAAAGATATAGCATCTGGGGTCTTAAAAGCTTGAAGGTAAACAAGCATCCATCTAGCTCTGAAGCAACAAAGCCCACATGGAAGAAGCACACTAGCCTGTGTGATCATGAGGTTCTGAAGGGATCAGATATCAGGCATCAAAGAACAAAAAAAACATATCATTGTGTGCTCACCTCCCTGATAGGATCACTGAAGACAAATGGGTGCATAAGCAAATGGGGTGAAGAAAGCTGATGGTGCCCGGCTATCAAAAGATACAGTGTTCGGGGTCTTAAAGGCTTGAAGGTAAACAATCGGCCATCTAGCTCAGAAGCAACAAAGCCCACATGGAAGAAGCACACCAGCCTGTGCAATCATGAGGTGTTGAAAGGATCAGGTATCAGGCATCATGAGAACAAAATATCTTATCATTGTGAATGATGGGGGGAATGCCAAGTGGAGACCCAAAGCCCATTTGTAGGCCACTGGAGATCCCCTTACAGAAGGGTCTCGGGGAGGAGATAAGACAGTCAGGGTTTAATGTAGCAAGGATGAAACATACAACTTTCCTCTAGTTCCTAAATGCTTCCTCCACCCCCCACTATCATGATCCCAATTCTATCCTACAAATCTGGCTAGACCAGAGGATATACACTGGTACAGATAGGAACCGGAAACACAGGGAATCCAGGACAGATGATCCCTTCAGGACCAGTGGTGTGAGTGGTGATACTGGGAGGGTGGAGAGAGAGTGGGTTGGAAAGGGGGAACAGATTACAAGGATCTACATATAACCTCCTCCCTGAGGGATGGACAACAGAAAAGTGGGTGAAGGGAGATGTCGGACAGTGCAAGATATGACAAAATATTAATTTATAAATTATCAAGGGTTCATGAGGGAGGGGGAGCGGGGAAGGAAGGGGAAAAATGAGCTGATGTCAGGGGCTTAGGTGGAGAACAAATGCTTTGAGAATGATGTGGGCAATGAATGTACAAATGTGCTTTACACCATTGATGTTTGTATGAGTTGTGATAAGAGTTGTATGAGGCCCCAATAAAATGATTTTAAAAAAAGACAACAGAAAATAATTAATGAAATAGTAATAATAATAGTATCAGAAAGAGCAAAGAAAGGAAATTAAAAAGAGGAAAATGAAAAGAAAGAGTGGAAAAGGAAACTGTTGTTTTTCAAAGATTAACAGGTCATTCTGAATATTTTTACTACATATTTAATAGAAGAATTTAGGAAGACATCAAACAGTAATATATATATAAAATTTTAAAGGGACATCAAGACCCAGATAATGGAGATTTACCAGGAAGATAAAAGGTCTAGTAACCATATCTGTCAAGAATAGTGAAAAGTTCTAATAATGTTTAGCCTGGGTGGGTGGGGCAGGGGAGACTATTAGGAGCTTAAGATTTACTTCTCAAGGATTAAAGTTACCAGAAAGAAAGGTTTGGTTGAGTATGAGAAATCATTTTCTAACAAGTAAGGCTTTCCAACAGAGAATGAATTACCTTGTGAGCCAATGAGTTTATGATCCCTAAGGTATTCAAGCAAATACTGGCTAACAAATGAAGAGGGATCATTCTATAATATCAAAACAAAGGAAATATAAACTTGCCACAGTATACAATACAGGGCGAGTGAGAATACAATTTTGCTTTGCCTTCAAATGTAAGCATGTGAAATATGTGCTATGCTGAAAATACTTTTTGTACCGTGACAGACTGTCCTGGTTCCTTGATGAGGCTGTCGTGTGGTCATTTCCTCAGGTTTGGACAAAACATTCTCAGATGTGCTAAGAACATCCTTCGTTCCATCCGAGGAATCAAGATCTTTTATCACACTACAAACAAAACAAATGACAGCTAATCATAACAGAGGCTTGACCAAAGTAATGTGTCATTTCCACACTCCTCTAATATTTTCCCACACTGGTCAGATAATATATAACAGAAAAGACACTTTTTTTTGTCTCCCCTGTAAAGAAGATAACAGAAATTGTTGTAAGGCGCTTAGAATAGTGTCTAGGACATCAGGTATTTCAGGAATTCTAGTACTGAAGCCAAATTCTAATTTCAAAACCTCTTTAGCTGGTGCTGGCTCTCAAAGTCTTCTATCTTTTGGTTGCAAAGGCCATTGCAATGTTATCTCCAATTATATCCTTTTTTATTTCAAAATTTTAATTTAATTATATTTTAAACATTTTATTCCAATCCATAGTTCCATTAGACCAAGCATCATTGCACAACTGCTGCCATCATTTTCAATACATTTTCTTTTCTTCTTGAACTCCTTGATATCAGTTCCCCTTTATCCCCTCCCTCCCCTCCCTCCGTGAGCCCTTATTATTATATATTATTATCATTTTTTTGCCATAACTTCCACCATCCCATGTATCCAATCTCCTAAAATTTTGATGTTCGTTCCCCTCAAGTGGGGTTATACGTCATCAGTTATCAGCACCACCTACCCACCCACCCTTTTCCCACTGCAAGCTTTACATTCTCCATATAAGCCCTGCACTGTCTATTTCAGGGACTTCGCCTCTGCCTGTCATTCCAATCTTTTCTTACCCAAATGACACCTGTTCTACTAGGCCCAGCCCAAATGTAACTTTTCTTATTCCTCCAGCAGGTAGTTATTAATAGCGTTCCCTTTGGGACCCAAAACACTTTATTTGGACTTCTATTATGTCAATGTGTATATCTGCGAATGTATATATGGTTTTATATACACATATAACTATCTCATACATATTATTCACAAATACCCACACAAACACGATCAGTCTGACTAGACATAAAAATGCTTTAAAAGTAACTAAACCATTAACTACTAAATTAAATGTTAAAGAGAGGCTACTACGGCAATCCTAGGATAAGTACATTTTCTAGAGCTTAAGCTTCACTGAAGGTGCGGGATTTGAGCAGACCTTGAATAGTGGATAGGGAAAAGTGACAGACGAGTAAGGAGAGATAGAGAAGATAATTGTTTACTGATTTGCTTGCTATCCAGGAGTCAATCATAACTAAGCACAATTTTGAACTGCTCTATTCAAAGTAAATCAGAGCAGTGGTGGCTAGTTATGTTTTATGTCATTTAGAAAATGATAACACATATATTTGAAGACATAGCCTTATAATTTCCAGATTGTTGGTTGGACTCATTCGGCTCACAGGAACACAGGGTTTCTGAAAGGTGAAAAGGCACTAATCTGGGTCAGAAGATAAAGAAATGCCAGGGCGACGAGCCAGTCAGGGGGTGATGTAGCAACGATGAAAAATACAACTTTCCTTTAGTTCCTAAATGTTTCCTCCCCGCCCCCACTATCATGATCCGAATTCTACCTTGCAAGTCCGGCTAGACCAGAAGATGTACACTGGTACAGATAGGAACTGGAAATACAAGGAATCCAGGGAAGATGATCCCTACAGGACCAGTGGTGAGAGTGGCGATACCGGAACGGTAGAGGGAAGGTGGGGTGGAAAGGGGGAACCGATTACAAGGATCTACATATAACCTCCTCCCTGGGGGATGGACAACAGAAAAGT